TAGCATGATTGTATATGATTGTATTTTTAGTGAGGATTTTACTCTGTGAGCGTCGTGCCCACGATCAATGGCCATTTCAGGTACCTACCATACATAAGTCCCATGTAAGTGCTATGTGAGGGGATATACACCCAAAGTATGGCTCTATATGGTACAGTACCTCTATTATTTTAGGATCCTGAAATTCAGATCGTCACGAAGTCACACGCAGAAATATGCACGTCAAGCTTTGTCGACAACTTGTGCTGTGCATCAAAATGATTCCTAAATGATATGACCAGCAAAAGGCTGACATGGTTGCATCAGGGAAACAGAGGCTTCTTGCAACCGCCATGAGAGAAAAACATGTGGAGAGGGAAAGTGTAAGGCTGTTTGAGATACATAATCTCTCCAAGGTTGTAACTCGTGGACTTGCTGCTTATATGAGCAACGTGAAGGCTTCTGTGGTACATTCCAAATGCTGCGAGGCACGTATGCGCGCCAATTTTCGCCACTAAGTGTATCAAAATGACGCAAGCAGGAAAAGGGTTACTGTACATAGTTCCATCATGAGTGTTTTTTTTTGTGCGCGTTTTACTTATTGTGCATCATATCTATGATGTTACAAAGCAGACATATGCACGTCACGTTTGTCGACAACATGTGCTGTGCATCAAGATGATATACAGCAACTAGGAAAAGGTTTGTACGGTTGCCTCATGGTTTCGTTTCTGCTCAGCACCTGGAATGTTTAGGCATCAGACCCAAAATGCCGCATGCAGAAATATGCACCGAACCTTTCCCCACAAACGCTAGTACGTAAAAATGATACAACCAGGATAGGGCTGAGATGGTCGTATCGTGGTTTTGCTTCCGGTGAGCAAGAGGACTAGAGGACTGCTTGCGTATCACATTCCAAAGGCTGCAACCGGAAATACGCGCGAAAATGTGTCCTACTACCTGTGTTGCGCACCAAAATGATTCAAGCAGAAAAGTTTTATATGGTTCTACATGATTGTATTTACAGTGAGGATTTTATTCTTTGAGCGTCATACCCACAATGTCAATCAATGTCACACGCAGAAATATGCACGTCAAGCTTGTCGACAACCTGTGCTGTGCATCAAAAAGATATATATATATACTGTATATAACTGATATAACCAGATTGTCGCCTACATGGTCGCATCATGGAAAGAGAAGCTTCTTGCAATCGCCATGAGACAAGACATTTGAAGGGATGAGAATGCTTGGGAAGGAGTGGAAACATCATCTCTCTTGCGTACTCCTCAGAACTTCTGGATACATAGCTTCTGTTCGACCGCTATGTTGCTGCTGTGTTACTGAAATCTGTCTTGTTGGATACCTTCACCTGGACCTAATCTGATGTCGTGAAGGTATTGTACAGAGAAGTTGTATGTATCAAGTGCTCTTAAGTTTGCTGGTTCTGGACTACAGGTGTTGCAAACGTTTGCTTAAAACAAAGCTTAACTACAGCTAGCAAGCTAGATGTCCCGCAATTCTCATCACGTCTCATCATCGTACCCGGTCAAATGGATGCAGCGGGGTTTAAGCCCGCAGTGGGGGGTAAATGTTCGACCTGATGAATCAGGCTGAACCTCGGGCCCCAAAACCAGTTGGACCTGAAACATCAGGGGCACTGTATCCATTCGCTAAAGCAAATCCAACTGCGGCTAGCAAGCTAGCAAGCTAGCTTTCGTATGCTGTTGCGACATACTACTCATATGCTATTGCATGCCAAGTACTTTGGTCTTTGATTGTATTTTGATGTATTTGGTAGTTACAGTAGGTATTTTGGCTTGCGTGAAAACAACAGCAAGTGACAGCCTATCGACAGTAGCATGCCCATGGCCTCCACTTGCACATGCAAACATCAACGCAAAATGGATCCCTCAAGCCCCACGGCAACGATATCACGCCAAGACAGCAAGTCGCTGGACAAGCTGATCTGAAGAGCAATCTGTTCCTGGAATGCCTCTCTGATCGCGCCTAAGTACGCCCACACAATTCTTGAGCTTGTACTGCTGCCCATTGAGAAGAGAGGTAATCGAAACGAACACACCGTTGACTTCTACACCTAAAAATCCTAAAAGGGATGTGGCGAAGATAATTAGTTAGTTCTGCGCGCATTGGATGACCTTTCACCTTGGAACCAAAGCCTTTCTTTTTGAGAAGCACGCGTCGTACATGTCCTTTGTTGTCATCCAGGCTTGCTTCCCAGGGACTCAATGGGATCTTCCTGTGAGCCTTGCGTTTTTCCTGCCACCCAGCATAGTCTATTGCATCTCATCGAGATAGACTGCCAGGAAAATCAATGAACATCTCTTTTAATCCTTTCACTGTACCATACCAGCGGTACCATCGTATTTTAATTCATCGGCCATATCACAACACATTGGACGTGTCAAATCACCTCAAATCACCTTGCCTGATCCATCTCTTGCAAGGTGACCATCAAATTCTCGAAGCTCTTTTGCGTGCAAAGCTTTCCGCCAGATACCTGGTCGCGACAGCAGGAAGGTGCACTCCACACAGCTTGGAAACCAGCAACGAACGAAATTCTGAGAGATTAAGAACCTATCTGACCTGATAGAACTTGAAAAACTCAAAATGCTTGGATTCATCAAGAACTGCAAAAACTGCTTCACTATGTATACTGTACTGGGTGGAGCCCACAAGCAATTTGACCGCGCACCTTCACAGTGGCGACGACGTCGAAGACCTGTACATGGATATCATCTTTGGGACTCTGGTGGCACATACATTAGAGGCATGCTTACGCGTTTCAGCATTTGAGCGGCTTTAGCTGCACATTGGGGTAAAAATACTGCAACAGTACTGTGAATCCACGGGACAGCTCCTCCCTTCCTTCCTCAAGGGTCAACATGATGGAAGACAAATGCTGTTGGGACTTCTCACTTCTCTTGCAACACTTCTGTGCTAAGAACAAAACCAAACATGATTTGGCAATTCCCAAGCAAAGATCTCTTGACAAAGGGCAATTCCTGAGAAAGCAACACACTTCCTCCACCTTCCTGGTGAACACCCCTGCCTGTTTCACAGGCTCATCCAAGCTAGAATACGTGGCCTTGCAGGTATTTGCACAAGTCACATCAAGTCACAACAAATCCAAAATCGTTCAAATCGAATCACCCCCTTGGCCCGGTCTTTCTCCAGCTTCATGCATTCACTTCTGCCCAAAAAAGGGCACAGAGCTTTGGGCTGTTAATTGAAGGCTTCAAGTGCTATTGGAAACATTTCTTGCGACCAGCTTTCCCAACACTTGAAGATGATTACAATGCGGCCAACCACTGCACGTGCTTTGACCTCTCTACAATGTCAGCCTTTCCTTTGCACTTGAAATTTAGAAACCCCAAAAGCACTATGGTCAATTTTGATTCAGGCTTCTCTTTTTTGTAATAAGGAATCTACTGGCTTCTGGTATTGAAGATCCCATTGGGTCTCTGATTGGAATCTGATTGAAATCCTATGATATGTTCTGAAATCCAACGCATGTCTCTTAGAGTTCGTCATGTTCATCGGCTTTGATATGCTTGCCTGCAAGGTATACAAGTATACAAGAGAGGAAAACAACTTCCACCCAAAAAAGTGCGCAAAGAACAATGCTGTGGAAATTAGGGGATTTGGACTGTGCCTTCATGTCACCAACGTCCTGACTTCCATCTGCCTGCGATCCGAAAACAAGGCAGCTGAGTTTTTTTTGCCAGTTGCGAGTGATTCTGCAGCACTGCGTGGCCCTACATACTCTAAGAATCTTCTGAATCCCTAGATCAAGAGACTGAAGATCCGCCAAAATTCCAGCACGAAACTGAGTGAAAAGAGTCGGAAAGAGTCGCAGTCGGAAACAGTGGACTCCACAGATTGGATTGGAACCAGGGTAAGTGTAACCTTTGATCCATCTCCACTCACACACAACTTCATCTGAAACTCAGAGATCAGTAGAGTGCAAAGTTGCCTGGTTATCCGCGGCATCATCTCCTTCTCCATTGCGCTCTCCCTCCGTGGCAGATTGATCAGATTGGATGAATGACAGAGGCGACGGTGGCAATTTGAAATCTAATGCCTTGGTTCCGGTCCACAAGCGCATGACCAGCAGCAATCGGCGCAACTGCTTCATGTGATTTTTGATTGAGTGCTCCTGCAGAGACAAATGACTTCAAGATGACCCGTCTTCAGTTCATTGTATGATCTGTAATGTGTCTCTGTAAGACTTGAAACAACTCCGAGCGTTGGGTGTACTGTTACCTGTTTTAAATTAGTGGTGAAATATCAATCAACATATGCATTTTCATGTGCATTTCACAGGCACATGCGGTAATATATACACATATCTCAAACACACGAACATGTACATATAATTATGTATACGTATAAATATATATAAATATATATACACATAATTATACATATTATATATATATATGTTTGCGAACTAAAGCAAATATGGATCTCTCATGTGTCGTGGCGGGTAGGCAAAGAAAACCAATCAGTTTTTTTGTCGCCAAGGTGCCAGGGAACCCTGTCCTTTGATCCAACGTTCGATGAGAAAAAACAACAAATCGAAAACCTCTCAGGGTTTCTTTCTCCACCTATCGCCACATCTATTGCCTTCCCAACTTGGCCTTGATTGTGCATCTCCCAGTGCTATTCTATACTTATATTATCTCTCCCTCTTTCGAGGAGTACCTCCTACCGAATAATTTCTGATGAGTCCTCCACATCAACTTCATCCACTTCGATGTCCAGTTCTTCAACTTCTTTCGTCGGCCTCGCATCTCGACTTCCATCGACCCATGTATCTTTCACGCGAATTTGGCCTGTGACGAAGCCTTGTTTTTCTAGGCCGCTGCAGAAAACATTTAGAAGGATGCCTTCCAGTTTTGGTGGATAGTCGTACCAACACTGCATTTGCATACATGAATGATATAGCTTCACAGTAGTGATGGCTTTGGATTGCTTTAAAGTACATCACATCAAATCTAGACCGACATGCCCTTCTCGTATTCAAATGCGCAAACAAGTGCGTGAACTACAATATTTCTAGCTTTACGCATGAGTAATTACATATAATCACATATTATATATAAAGATGCATCTGGTTCTTTTGTTCCACTTCGCAGCAATTTAGTCAAAACAAAATTAAATACAGGACCTACAAAAGAAACATCCCACCGAATATGCTCATTCGTTCCAGCTCAGGTCGGGCCAGACCCCTGACACAGAGCATCAAATTCCCATTTGACCCTACCCAAGGTACCAAGCCAGACCTCCGGTCCTCGGGTATCTGAGTCTCTTTGGAGGAGATGTTTCAGTAGGCAGGACAAAATTAAATACAAGCTCTACAAAAGAAACATCCCACCGAATATCCTCATTCGTTCCAGCTCAGGTCGGGGCAGACCCCTGACACAGAGCATCAAATTCCCATTTGACCCTACCCAAGGTACCAAGCCAGACCTCCGGTCCTCGGGTATCTGAGTCTCTTTGGAGGAGATGTTTCAGTAGGCAGCTAAAAAAATAATACCAAAGCTCAAATCTCGGCTCAAAATGGTTCAATGTATTGTACCAGAACTCAAATCTCGGCTCAAAATGGTTCAGTGTACCGTCTTCTTACCCCTCCATCAGGGACAAGCCTCGGGAGGGGCAGGGTGGGACTTGAACCGGAAACACTAAGGAACACAACCACTCATCTGCATCTTAAACCCCGGGGACGGGACTCTAAAGATGCATCTGGTTCTTTTGTTCCACTTCGCAGCAATTTAGTCAAAACAAAATTAAATACAGGACCTACAAAAGAAACATCCCACCGAATATGCTCATTCGTTCCAGCTCAGGTCGGGCCAGACCCCTGACACAGAGCATCAAATTCCCATTTGACCCTACCCAAGGTACCAAGCCAGACCTCCGGTCCTCGGGTATCTGAGTCTCTTTGGAGGAGATGTTTCAGTAGGCAGGACAAAATTAAATACAAGCTCTACAAAAGAAACATCCCACCGAATATCCTCATTCGTTCCAGCTCAGGTCGGGGCAGACCCCTGACACAGAGCATCAAATTCCCATTTGACCCTACCCAAGGTACCAAGCCAGACCTCCGGTCCTCGGGTATCTGAGTCTCTTTGGAGGAGATGTTTCAGTAGGCAGCTAAAAAATAATACCAAAGCTCAAATCTCGGCTCAAAATGGTTCAATGTATTGTACCAGAACTCAAATCTCGGCTCAAAATGGTTCAGTGTACCGTCTTCCTACCACGGCCCCCAGTACTTCCAGTTATACTGGAGGCTCAAGTGTTGAAAAGTTCAACTCACAAAGGTTTGTTCAAAAACAGCCGAAAAAGAAAAGAAACAAAACAACGGGTTATAAAGAGGCAAGTCCATCACAGTGAGCCTCATAAACCCTTCTTGAAACGAAACCTTCCTTGCAACGGGAAGCCCTCCCGTGATCGGTGTGCACGAAACGAAAGACCGGAATGGATACAATCTAGCGAAAGTGCTTAAGCTTAAGCACTCGAGAGTACAATGAAGATTGACAGCTGGACCCGAAATATTCAGAGATCCACCAGCCGCACAGCTGGCTTAAATTCAAAATACCTCACGACACTTGACTTTCCCTGCTAGACATGCCCTAATCAGGCTACACTCCATCCATCAAATGATCTTTGCAAAGCCCACAAGGAGTTTTACTCCTAGAAGGAAAAATCGCCCCGTCATGGCCTAAACCAAGTTATCAGGGACTAGTGTTTTCTGAAGGGGAATTGCATCTGCCGCCCAACGTTTTGAGTAGCTGCCCGCGAGCAGGAAGTCGATGGTGTAGGTCAATCAAGAGGTTTTACGGCGATACAATCATACCAGTAGCTCGGACACGCGCGAGTCTCGAACTTCATGCGGGCGCTACCTGGTCGCAGAGCAGGGCATCAGGCTTCAGCCGGGGAGCTTTGAGTCGCAGAGAGTCGAAGAATCCTTTGCGTAGTAAGAGCACCCAGTCCCACATTTCATGGCATCACTGCAAGTAGCCTCAAGCTTTGCGAGTAAGGACATTGGGCCGGAAGATTTTGACCCAAGTTAGCTCCCAGAACTCTGTTTGGTACCATTTTCAAAGTCACGTATTATATATAAGTTTATTCCTTGATGTTGTCGACTGTTCTGTGATTGGGTGCGAAAAAATCATGCATACCTCAAGAACTGTGTTTCTGTAACATTTCCAAAATCACATAGGAGTGCAAGTTTTGATCTTGGCCATTGCTCGTCGAGTGTGTGAGAAAAGCTCCCACACGCCCGGTCTCCCGACCACCAGATTGGCATTCCATTCTGCGGAAACCTAACGCAGCTGCCCCGAAGTGCTGTAGATCAAAGGCGCCATGGGCTCGTTCTTCCTTCTGCATCAAGTGCGACCATGCCATCACCACCACATTGACGATCCTTTGCTGGAGAAACGAAATCATGCCCCCGGATAAGGCGATGTGAAAATCGTAGTTTTTCATCTCCAA